AATCATCGCAACGTCTAATGATTTCTCAATGAAAGTCTCAATTATTACTAGACTTTCGTATTAATAGTGAGAAAATCTATTTTTATGATTAATATTTACTTTTGTCGTCAGTTTTATTGAGTCGACAATTGTGTGCGAATAATACAAACAGTTTTAAAACTCGACTTTTTTATCGCATAATTAGTATTGAATAGCATTTTCATACATTTTCGTGAATTACTACCAAAGAGTATCTCATTATCTCTACTCCGGAACCATGTCTGCCATAAGTGAAGATCAGATCCAAGAATATAAGGAGACGTTCGGTATATTCGACTCGAAAGGGGACGGTATGGTGAGCGTTGGACAGGTGGGTGACGTGATCCGAGCCCTGGGCCAGAATCCCACCGAAGCGGACATCAAGAAGTGTTGCGAAATATACAAACCCGAGGATCGGATCAGTTTCGAGACATTTATGCCAATCATGCAAACGATTGTCAAGAATCGGAAGAAATATTCAGTCGACGAGTTTGTCGAAGGGCTCCGACATTTCGATAACGACGGCTCCGGCTATATATCCTCCGCCGAGTTGAGACACCTGTTGACCGCTTTGGGCGAGAAGTTGACGGAAGAAGAAGTGGAACAGATTCTGGTGGGGATGGAGGACGAGGAGGGACGGGTCAACTACGAGTACTTCGTCAAACAGATTATGTTAGGCTGACCTCCCGTTCCCCTTAGTGTCTATTAGTGTGTCACTCTGTATGCGATGGACAGTCAGGTCTTGAGAATTATGATTACGATTAGGTTTTGAACGTAAATTAAACTAAACTTTATATACAGTATGATATGATTATAGTATTTATATATATAATGTTTGCATTTTTTTATATTTTATAATAACTAATAACATAATGTGTTTTAAATGTGCCATAAGTTTGTGTAAAAATTATATATTCTCCCCGCAAAACAAATTATGAACTCTTTTTATGTCTGTAATAAAAATATTTAACATTTTTATGTATATTTGTGCACATAATTCACTAATTGGTTATACAGTACTTTATATTTGCTAATTTTTTTGACAATTCGTAGAGTCTGTATATTCTGTCAAAAATGTTGGATTTTGTACTCAAAAAGTATTGTGTGTTTGAAATATTGTTTGCATACTACAATATTTTATATAATCATTACTACTTTACTATTTATTAAGTAATACTACTCTATATTTAACGACAAATATGTGGCAAAACGGAACAAATTTGAAACCATTTTAAGAGATTTAGTTGTTTTTTGCGATAACAACACACAATATCGACTAAACTATCAAAACGTTTTACTGTTATCTCAAAATGCATATTAAGTACAGATATATTTTGGAAATACTCATAAAATATAATACATAACCATAATGCCAATAGAAATTTTTTATATATACATAATACTGTACACCAAATAGTGTACAATAGTATTACAGAAAAATATCATTTATAATCTCATTTCTCTATAGAAACAATTGGATAAAAAATATATTGTGTTCACAAAAAACACCAGAAATAGTGTTAAGTTACCTGATATGTGGTGTTTCTAATGTGTACTACAATAGCATTGAAGTCCTGTAGTTTTATTGTATGTTTTAAGCTATAAGTTGTATATTAAGTTAAACACAACTGTAGAGCAAATAATAATTTAATCAAATTGCTAAACAAATAGTTAAAACAACATTTTTACCGGGAATTAGCGTTAGAATCAAGTTTTTCGCTATAATTCTGGTTATCGTTTGTGTTATTCATTGTGTGTATAACCGACTCATTCGCTCATAAACTACAGTAAAAGTCATCAAAAAAATCTGAAAAACACATTGAAATGCAGGCCATTAAGTGTGTAGTCGTCGGAGACGGGTATGAATTTACAATTCATTTCTATATACCTTACAATAATTAATACAAACTTTACATTTTAAATCTCAACACATATAATGTATTACTTTAGTATTTCATATTTCATTGCCTTCCCATTCACAGAGCTGTGGGTAAAACATGTCTATTAATAAGTTACACGACAAACGCATTTCCCGGTGAATACATTCCCACCGTTTTTGACAACTATTCCGCTAATGTGATGGTCGACGGAAAGCCCGTCAATCTGGGCCTCTGGGATACGGCCGGTCAAGAGGACTACGATCGACTGCGGCCCCTATCCTACCCGCAAACCGACGTCTTTCTCATATGCTATTCGGTGGTCAACCCGTCGTCCTTTGAAAACGTACGGATCAAATGGTATCCGGAAGTGCGACACCACTGTCCCGACAAACCCATTATATTGGTGGGCACTAAACTGGATCTCCGGGACGACCCCAAAACATTGGACAAGCTTAAGGAGCGCAAAATGGCACCCATTACTTACCCCCAGGGCCTGGCCATGGCTAAGGATATCGGCGCCGTTAAGTACTTGGAGTGCTCGGCGCTCACCCTAAAAGGCCTGAAGAATGTGTTCGATGAGGCCATCCGTGCCTTCCTGTGCCCTCAGGTCAAGCCTAAGAAGAAGAAGGCGGGATGTGTTGTACTATAAGCCGGGTTACTATTATTCATGGTTTTTCAATGGGCCCCTAAAACTAATTCATTAATTTTTATGATAATTATTAAAAGTTTTATATTTATATAACTTATTATTATTTGATTAAAGAATTGTCTTTATTTTTACGTAGGAATCAAACATATCATGGTATTTTTTGCAAATGCAAAGTATCTATTAATTATCTTTTTAAAATTTAAGTATATTTTATTTGTTAGAGTATTTATTGTAATTTATTAAATAGTTATTTAAGTTTTAATATTATATAAGAATAAAGTGTATTACTAAATTATATGAAATTATGTGCAAACAGTTTATATCCCTGAAATGTTGAGCACATATGACATTTAGATATTGGAGTATAATTGTGCAAGACTCTTATCAACACTATGATTAGTGCCATTTGTCTAATCAGTGCCCTACGAAACGTAAAGTTGCGGTTAGGCGTCATCCATAAAGTACGTACGCAAAATTGTGGTCAAAAATTGACCCCCCTCCCCCCTACACGCCCATTGTACATAGGAGTTTAACATGGGAACATACGCTTTGACATGACCCCCTCTCCCCCCTAGGCGTGCGTATGTACTTTGTGGATCACGCCTTAGCACAATAAATGAATACAATATAGATGCAAAATATTAGGTGTGTAGTCGTCGGTGACGGGTATGAAATTCATATAATTTATTTATAATTCATTTATAGAATTAATACAAAATGTTAACATGTAAATAAAAGTATTCTAGTTAAACATTTAATTATATCATTTAATAGTATCTAATTTTTGCAGGGGTGTGGGCATAACATCTCTATTAATAACTTATACGACAAACAAATTTCCCGATGACTGGGTTCCCAGTAATAATCAGTTTTGTGTAAACGAGGCAAACGTTGATGAAAAGACTGTTATCTGGGTCTATTGGACTCAACTCATGGTCTGGAGGGCAAACTGTTAGCCTTATACTACGGGCAAAACGATGTCTTTCTCATATGCTATTCGGTGGTCAACCCGTCGTCCTTTGAAAACGTACGGATCAAATGGTATCCGGAAGTACGACACCACTGTCCCGACAAACCCATTATACTGGTGGGCATTAAACTGGACCTCCGGGACAATCCCGAAACACTAGACAACTCAATTAACGTAAACAGACATACATTACTTACCCCCAGTGCCTGGCCATTGCTAAGGAAATCGGCGCCGTTAACTACTTGGAGTGCTCGGCCCTCACACGGGGAAGGCCTTAATAATGTGTTCAATGAGGTCATACGTGCCGACCCATGTCCTCAGGTCAAGCCTAATAAAAGGATGCACTGCTTTGTACTATAAGCAAGATCTTTAATTTGACTTGAACTCATTAAAGTGAACCATTAGCCCTTTATTTTAGTTATTTACGTATTAAATGATTAAAAGTTTAAGTTTAAAAACACACGTTATATACGATTTAATTGAGACATTTGATTAATAAATAATAAATTGCCTTGCTTTATACAGGAATAAAACATCACGGTAGTTTTTAAAAAGCAGAATATTTATACATTAATTTTATAAAATATAATTGACTTGTTAGATATTTATTTAAACTAATTTACGGAATCATTAGAGAAAAATGAAATTTTTATAATAGAGAAAGTATTTTTATAATTTATGAACACGGTTTTAATTGACAATATGAGAATAATGTCTAGCTACATTAGATAATATATTTAAACTAATTTACGGAATCATTAGAGAAAAATGAAATTTTTATAATAGAGAAAGTATTTTTATAATTTATTAACACGGTTTTAATTGACAATATGAGAATAATGTCTAGCTACATTAGATAATATTATTGGAGTAATAAGGTATAGTGACTATACTATAGTCCGATTGATTCAAGTTTATGTAATCACTGTTTGCATAATCGACTCATTCACATAATACGTACAATAAAACTAATAATTCATTGAAAAGCATTGCATTAAGTGTGTAGTCGTCGGGAACCGGTTTAATGACTGATATACAAAAAGTAGTCATAAAAGGGATTTCCTGGAGATTCTCATTCAATTGCATTGCGAGCGTAGTTTTGTGCCACACTTTCTGGCAAAACAAATACATTTTTATAATGCGCTAGCACATTTCAGGACTACTTCTTGTTTAGTAG